CGTCTTTCCTTGATCTTCATCAGATCAACGCATCAAAGAAAAACATCATTTGAAGCACTTCTCTCTACATATATCATCAAAGCAATAAATAAAAAATAATTTGCTTTATACTGAACCCACTCTTTTATACTATAGGTAAGTAATTGCGGAAGAAGCCGGCTACCAGCACACGAATTTCTTGCCCTTTTTCCCAACAGCAGTAAGGGATTTTTAAAAAAAAATCCGCTTTCGTAAGTTTATAATTAATTGAGATTCGTATCTTTACTTAATTTTACGGCAATTATCGTTGCAAACCTTACGTTATGTTTAAGAACAAACACAAAAAGAAAAGAAAAGGCAATAAAAAGTCTCTGTAGAGTATTCAAAAATTCAATATATGAATGACAATAAATTAAAGAAACTATGATTGGCGGCGCCCAAGATTCATTTTAAAAGACATACAGTCTTCTCGCTTCCATGCTTATCTACGGCCTAAGCAAATGAAAATTATGCTTTCATTTTCAAGCTTCGGCAAATAAATATTTGTCAATGCTCGTCCACGTACATAGACAGACGTTAGAGAGAGGAGAGGTAAAAGCAACCAAGCGAATCTGAGTGAGATTTTCAATAACATCGTAAGTATTTTATAATTTAGTATTAGGCTGCTTAGTAGCACAACAAGAAATTAAGAATCTGAAAGTAAGTCTGGAAGAGTCTAGAGTAGTCAAATCCACGCTTAATAGATGCTTAACCGAGTCTACAACAATCTTGCAAAGACAATAGGAAATTTCAAAAACATCCTCCCACTTACAAATAAAGTATGTCGGCCTAAAAGTTTGAAAATATCCGTAAGCTTACTAAGTCGGTTGAAAAATAGCAAGTGACATCAATACCGAGTTTCATTTATGTGCATTATTTTATCGAGCTTCGCAAGCTTATTTTTTTCTTTCACTGGAACGAAATTTGGAGCTGAAATTCAGAGTTGCACAATAGTTAGCTGAACTGCTAATGGCATACAAGTGAGTTTGCAAAAGCAGCCGCAGCTAACTTGAAACGGGACAAAAAGAATCAATAGTGAGTGTTATGTAGCGTTTGAATGATGAAACTGCTAAGAAACCGCAACCGAGACCAGAGACATATTAAGTGATGTGATGATAGATACGTAACTAACTTTCCGGGCGACGCTAATCGCATTTATTTTTTTCTTTCTTTCTTTATTTTTTATCTTGGACGTTACGTACAACATGTTGAAAAGCATTTTTTTTTTTTTTTTTTTTAATAACCAAAATATCGAGTTTGCGTTAGCGCCAAGCTTTGGTTTTTTGCTTTAGTTTGGGAAGAAAAGCAAAAAAAATATGCAGCTGAAGCAAGCGCTTTGTGCGAAGCGGCTTAGTGGGAAAACACGTCTCTTTAGAAATGATCTGAAAAGATTCGTTTCAAAAGTGCTTTCATAAATGGCACTGAAGATGATTCTTTAGAATTTTTTTCCCATTTTTTTCATATAACGTGATCGTTAATATCGTAAAAGAAAATTCGAACATGGCACAGAGTCCCGGTGAATTTAAACTTCAACGTAAGTCCTCGGTCATTGAAGACGTAGCACTTATCAATTGGGCACGCAACCACTAAGCCGCTAAACCACTCCTTATCTTCTACTTTTCATCCACCACTTTCTGACCATCACCGTGTTACGCGTGGGGACGTCCCCTAAGTAATTAGTCGTCCAAGTGTATGATAAAATGTATATTTTTTGCAAAGAAAAAAAAAAAAAAGAGTAAAAGAAAAGCAGCATAGAAACCTGGTCTAGGATTCCGTTAAAGTGCCCATTTTCTGAGATGTGGCACTTTTTGATAGGTTTTAATGATTAAATGTACAATATTTTCTTATTATATTAATTCCTGGCACTTTTTTGACATCTTTCACTATCAATTTCTACGAGAATTCCGACTTGGCCCTGTTACCACACAGAGGAATAATAAAATTAAGTGTATGCTCTGCCTTTCTATGGTAATGGATATAAATACGAAACTGAACCAAGGAAAAAGCAAAAAACAAAAAATAAAAAAATAAAAAGAAAAAGAAAAAAACCAGCAAACGACTGTGTAAATATTTGTTAAAGCGGGTCGCATGTTAACTACTCAAGCGTTTTTTTATTTATTTATTTTTATTTATTTATTTATATTCATTTTTTTTTTTGTTTTTTTTTTGCTTTTTGTTTTGTGGAGCACATATTTTCAGTCTAAAATAAAATATTTACTTATTTTGGATACTTTATTTTAAATACTTTCATTGTGTCAAATAAAGATACACACACGCACAATACACTCCATATGCATAAAATTTATGATAAGCTGCGAGGGTGTTTACCGCAAGCGTATAAATGTTTGTTATTTTTTACAGTGGAGAAAATTCATACAAAGTCGGCGAGAAAAGTTTTCGATTCCTTTTCGCCTATAACTAACTATTCAGTATTTATACCTATTTATATAAAGTTTGTAAATGTTTTTTTAGAAAAATCGAATCAAATGTCGCTTCAAAGAACGAATTGACGCAAAGGTAACTAACGGATTGCGAAAAACGTCAAGTCTATCGTAATACAAAAGACTTTCAGCATATTAATAGCGGATAGAGAGACATGTGCGACTTGTTCCAGAGAATTTGATATTTGTATTTCAAAAAGGACGACAATACAATCGTGTGACAGTGTGGCAGCTACGCATTTCTCAATGAAATAACTAAAGAAAAGCTTGGATGGTAAGAAGACCAAAGACAATGAAAGTAACTCATAAAGTCTCTCTACATATTCATTGTTTTTGATTACTTTTGATCTGACTATCGTTTCAAATTCTCAAATCAGGATTGCGAAGAGAAGAAGGAAACGTAAATTCCAGGTCACACAAGATTGTTTCACTTACTCGCAAAAAAAAAAAAAAAAAAAAATATAAAAAAAATAAATAAATAAAAAGAAAGTTTTTTTAGGTTTTTGGTTTACTCTGGCTTTAGTGGTGTCCTTCGACTTTAAGTATTTGTTGAGGTCCCACTGTTACCATCACTAATGTCATCAACATTAAGTTAACTGCTTTCATGGCAAAAACCTATGTTCCCACCGTCGGAGGTTGGGAGACCTCCGAAGCAAACCGCGTCACATTTCGTTTAGAATACCTATGAGCTGCTTCGTTCACAGTCGTTCCGATTGCCATGGTAACTAACCAAAAGATATATGAATAGATAACGAGTGCTTGACGTATGTGGTAATATTTTCCTCTTTAAAGATGAGCTGAACTGGCTTTCATACCGTTTAAGAACGGAGCATGCAAGCATCATTAGCAAATTTACTACCCCGAGAGCGGATAACGGACATATGGACAATCAAAACAACATTGCATTGCAACCACAAGTTTCGTGATAGAAAACGAATTTAAATTATAATAGCATATCTAAAGCATCGATTGGACCGATCTGCACCTAGTCAATCTGTGTGCATGTGTGTTCGTGCGTATGAATTTTAAAGATTTGATGTGAATTCGTGTCGTTATGTCAAATATCCAAAAACGTATAATTTCGAATAATGAAAGTTTTCCTAATTTTTAAAAAGCGTATACTTACACATTGCAGTTCTTGTCTAAAACAAGGGATCACACTTTTGAGAGAAGATATTGTTGTTATGACTACATACACTAACTATCAATAATACCTTCAGCTGATTCTATTATTCTAACAGGCAGGCCGCGAAATCGAATCGTTGGATATGATTTAAGTAAATAACGATATCACACAATGCCATGCGATGGATGGGTTTTCTCTTTTCTTTTTTTTTTTTTTTTTTTTTTTTTTTAATTTAAATTTACAATGACTTCTTTATGATTTCCTCGCGTAAGGGGAGAAGATGAATGTATCATTAATTTGACTTCACTTCGCTATTTATTCATATTCTCTGGATATGATATCAATTAACATTTATGTCATTAATGTCAAGGACGCTCGTATCGATCGATAGCATATGTATGGCAATCACAAGATCTAGAAGAATTTATTATAAAAAACTTGTAATATATTTTCATCTTCTTTTTCTTCTACTTCTTTTTTTTTTGGTTTTGCTTATGTAAATTTACTCCACTGTAAAACTACAACTACGCGTATGTCTCGCAACGTTATAATATAATGGAGATATTATGAAAACATTACCGGGCGTTATCGTCCGACTGTAACTTGTTGACTTCATTTGTTGATATAAACAAGAGAACTTCGAAATTGTATTCAGATTGTTAGCGGTACCCCTAGACCAATAGATAAAATGTGTTGTTGTTGTTGTTCCTAACCAATACAATGTTCATGGGGTTCAGTTAAAGTTGCCAGGTGTACTCAGTGCGTAAATACTTATGACAATTTATGCTTAAAATCGCCCGCTCGTCCACATCATACAAAACAACAGTCAAACAGAGATAAGATCCACCCGCATTTGTATAAGCTGTTTAGTGATGGATAGAGAATGGAAATAATGTCAACAAAAGTTTTATGCAAATACCTACGAGTACGTAAATGACTTGTCAGTGGAGCGCTTGAATCGAGGTGAATTCAGTTCGGTGGAGTGTATAACACAAATATAACCGGACACTCTTTTAGATAAGCTGCGTGTGTAATTACCCACATAGACACGTTATTAATGCTGATAAGATCGGAAACTATATTATATTACATTATCCGAATGCAAATGTTGCTTAAAACTTGTACTTTTATGCATACGCTTGTAACTTGTAAAAGTTTATCGGACCAAATTTGTTATCAATACTACAATACGAATTTTTTTTTTATTATTATATTCTATGAAACAATTAAAACTAACAAAATAAGAAAAGCAAAAAAAAAAAAACAAAAAAAAAAAAAAAAAGAAAAGGAACAAAACATGTGAAGAAAAGCTGAGTACAAATTAAATGCACATATTTATTTATTTTAATTGGTTCTTGATGTTGCTTTTATTATTATTAATTTTTTAGATTAGTTAATTAAGTAATCGAACTTACGACTTAATGAACGAAATCCATGGTCATCACTGATCGATAGCATTTTTGTGTACATTATTATTGTTAAGGAAAAACTTGCGCACTTGAACACTGATCATTACATATATGGATAATCGCAATTTAAAACATAAATATTTGATCGTGTGTGTGTGTGTGTGTGTGTGTGTTAATTTAATTACACAAATATAAAAAGATTTAAAATTTCTTTATAGCACATATCAAAACTGAATGATCATATAAATCAATTTCGCTAAAGGGTTAAGTTTTTTTTTTTTTTTTTTTTTTTTTTTTTTTCTTTCTTTAATAGTGTCCCGGAGATATTTCGCTTTCAGTTATAAGGTTTTTCTTTACGGGGTATGTTTATCCCATAAAGACTTTGTGTGGACTGACGATAGATTTTCTTCTACATTGCCTTAGTAGTCCTACTCTCACTGTATACGGCATGACTGACGGTATAACTAAAACTCTCATACACAAGTTGCTTGACCCTACGAAGCAAACGAAGGGAAAACTATATGGAATAGAAAAAAAATGTGAGTCCTTGCCACCACTAAAAAAACTCATAACCTACTTTCTTTCAATATATTGCTTGTTGCTCTCGCATCGTATCTCAAACACTACCACCACCACCACCACCATCACCAGTGATCGTACATAATGATGATATATGTTCGTGTGTGCTCTTGTTTTTTTTTTTGTCTTCTTTATTTTTCTTTTTAAATTAGGGTTGAAATCACAGCTCTGCTCTGCTCTCCGCAGCACAATGATAGGACTTTCCGAATGGGAAGGAAATGATAATCTCATCTTTAGATAAGACCGTTCAGACGGGTACTGCTCAAGAAACACAAAAAAAAAAAAAAACAAAAAAGAAAGAAAGAAAAAGGAAAAGATGCCGTCACAGAGAGCTTCGACTGTCATAAGATAAATGCTCAAAATAGACAAAACGATGCGCAATACGCTGTTGCTCAATATAATTAGCCATATACGTACGTTACGTTAATAGGCTAAATTCTGATCTTTATTGTTCGCGATAGGGTTAAAATTTGCTTATTACTACGCAGACGCAGACGTCAAATATGTTATACAACTTGCAACAAATCTCTTTTTTATTTCTGTTTCACTTCCAAGTTTAACTAAATTTTAAAAAAAATTTAACGATTTTATGGAATTTCAAGCTTAATAAATAACAGAACGGACGATATATGTGATGTATCGATGAATTACGCCAATATTCATAATGATGTTTGCGGGTGTGCGTGTATGTAGATCCTTATAAGTGTAGTAAATATTGTTAATTAATGAATGAAATTCAAAGTATTTTCTAAGGTCACATGTCCGTCAGTCCGAGTTGATGTTATCGCAGAAGAGGGCTAAGCCTTGACACAGATATTCCAATTTAATACTCCCAGCATAATTGTGAAAATGAGAAAATCGACCTATACACCTTATTAGACATTGAAATAAATTGACAATGAACTTATCTCTCAATGGCCAAAAGTCTTTCTAAGAGTAATGAGAAGAATAAAAGTAAATATACGCATAAAAAATTGAAGCAACTGACTGAAGCGGAGGTTAATCCAACCTGTACGATGTGCTGTTATTACATAATTTTACTTTCAATTTTAAATTAAGGCTAGAGCTATAATTTAGTGTTAGCTTCAGCTGCGAGAGATCGATGATCCGACCCAATGGTTTATCGGACTTTTTTACATAATGCTTGTTTAAAACGTGAGCCTATTCTTCCGCAATTAAAACTGGCATACGTTACTTTAATTCAAAACGTTATACAATAAATAGAAGATACGTCGCTTAACGTCAATTTCGAAAGTTTACCGGCTTGCAATGCATTAATAACCCGTAACGATGTAAACATGGACACGCAATCGAAACAAGTACTGCAGAAGTTAGAAATGCCTTAAAATGAACCAACACTTAACAATTTTAAAAGGACGTCGGTCGAGCAGCACTATTTTCACGCAGACGTTTTACTTTAATCCCACGATATATTTGTAACAATTGTAACTCTCTTAAAAATTGTAAAAGGTCTTGACGAAAGGTCTGCACTCATTGTGTTTTCAAGCTTGCATTGTGTGGATCGTGTGAACTGGGCTTAGCAGATAAGTGAACCTGAGGTGGGTAAAACTTGACTGCAAATATTTCTATTACACTTAGTAAGTTTTAGTGACCGCGGATAAGTCATATCTTTTTGCTTATTGTCATTGCTGTTGTGATCGATTCCCTTTTGGAATTTCCAATATTACACAACTTATGGCCTATAGAAGCAGCTCTGCTGGAACGAATCGTCTTAGAGTGAATAAAAGCAAAATTTGTTGGTCAAATATTGCCTTTGCTAGGTATCTGGAAAAAATTCTATTAACATTTTTTCTTTCTTTTATTAAACAAGTCACAACCATACGAGTTCGAGTATCGACCATCGACCGCGGATATGAATTTGTTTAAGAAATCACTCTTATGTAATAATAAATCGGAACCCGATGGCACTAGTGTACTAAAGTTACGCTAAAAACTTTATCTTTTCTATTCTGCTCGGAAAATTCGATATTTTTTCCAATAAGGAAATTCATCCATTCAAAAATATCGACTGTCGTTCGCAATGACTCACTGTCTTGCAAGAATGGGTAAATATGTTAAATAAAACGAAGACCATTACGGAATAAAAAAAAAATCTACTCTTCATTTAGAAGCATATATACTGCCTGGCCTTGTGATCGGTAACTACTCATAACAGAAGACAATATGTACTCTAGTTACACTACACGGTAGGAAAAGTCGTAAAAAACCCGCCGACAACAGTTTTATTATAAAACAGACAAACAAACCAAACGGAAACAAATGCCATATGATTTGTGATGCGTCTGTCACGTACGGCTATTAGAGACTATCGAATTAAGTTGATTTCGAGTTTGTTCTACAAGTGATGTTAATAGGAATAAATTACAATTTATGTTCGTTTTACTACGCTGTGGATCAATAATGTGGGTTTTCCCGAGGATGCCAGAGACCTACAACGGCTATACTATTCGATAGCCGCGGAAATCATAACTATGTCTTTTCTACGTCCTTTTTGAAAGAGAAAGCAAAAAGAAACAAATAATTTAAAAAGAAAATTGATGTGCATAAGGACATCATTCTTAGAAAAGATATTAATTCGTTTGATAGAAATTAAAAATTGTGCGCAATACGATTGAATTTCAAATCCACAGTATATACAATAAATATCTATATCGTCCGTACGATATAGATATGCCGAGTATGCAAAAGATCGCGGCTAAAAACGCAATGTTCGCAGGTTCAAATCTCAAATATGGTAGAGTTTTCAATACAGGCGAGCATATGATTGAAGTTATCCGGCAGCCTTGACGTACAAAATATTGAGATAATTAATGGCTAAATGTTTCTATATCTGCAAAAGGACAATTTTCAAAATCCACGTAAGATATAAATTTTGCTTCATTTAGTTCTTCACTTTAGATCGATAAGCTCAATCTATCGCCCAGAAGGTGCTTTAAGTAATGCAATAACTTTATGGGAGGTTGTGTGTCACGTATGTAGAAAAAATTTATTTTCAAATAAACGCTTTGATGGATTTAGCCAAACTAAGTAAGTTAATACGAGGAAATGATTTATAGTTTCATGCTGCCATATCAGATACCTTTACCCGAGGCAATCTTCTAATATCTGATTTTTAACTTTTTAGCTTTTTTTCGATAAATTATCAACATAAACATATATATATTGGACTCTGTCGATCGATTGCTTACTATTCAAATTTAAAGCCGACCTTAAATTGAATGCATAACAATCTTGTTTGTACATCTGCTACAATCTGTCCGGAGGTAATATGCTAGGGCACCCGAAAGCTCATACAAAATTTAACGAAAAAGAAGAAGAAAGAGGAGAACAGGACAGCAGGAGAACTGGCAGTTCAGAGTTATTAAAAAGGAAACGCTACACAGCGATTGGAGTTCGTTGACTGGTGGATGGAAGGACAAACCCATCCTCTGCGGGGGACTTATTTTAATCTGGATGAGTGGTTAATCAATGAAATTGACTTCTTTACTATTCACGAGCTCCACGATTGATTGGCGACACAAGCACGCAATCACAAGAGATTCCTTAAAAGAAGCTTGCGAGTGCCCATGAACGTCGACTGGACACATTGGACATTAAAGAAAAAGGAAAAAATTTGTCGCCACCGAGGCGTAGGACCATTACACAAACCTCAAATTCAACTTACAACACCCGAAGATATGTTCGTGGTGATCGATAAAGTAAAGTATAATTTTAACTGAAATTATAAAGCGATTTGGCAATGTTCGCATGCCCGTCTTTCGCATTACGTGATTTTATTGGCTAAAGACCTTATATCATTACAAGCTAAATGGTTACCGGATACTTATCAAAAATATATGCAGATATAGACAGAATAATAGACTTGATCTGCATACATAGACAAGCGCAATATCCAAAAGCATAGAAATGAAGAAAGAAGAAAAATGAATTTTTATTTTAAGAAATCTTCCCCTAACTACCTAAAATGCACAAAACAAGTCCATTGATCTCCTTGAGGTTTCTGTAAATGCGAAGTGAACCAATAACCGTTTCAACTGGCTCAGCTTAGTTAACCAAGCGATTGACGAGAAACTCCTCGCAATTGTATATATATATGTGTGTATATATAAACTTAATAAAATGTATTTTAAACATTTGTTTTAAGTAATATCTCTTCTATTTCCTTCTCTTTTTAATTTTTGTTTTTCTGGAAGTAAAAAAGTTGAAACGCGAGATATCATCTGGTGTTGAATATGCGGTGGGGACAAATGTACTATTGATGTGTCAGTTTTGTTGCTAATGCTTAATTTAGTTATCTGAACATCTGAATCTGTAATCAGAGATGCCTCTGCATGTTTGCGTGTGTGTGTGTGTGTGTGTGTGTGTGTGTGTATGGGCAACGACCCCTTCTTTTTTGTTTTTTCTAAGGTGCATTAAGAGTGCGTTTTTTACAATTATTTAATGCGCGTACATGCATGCGTTCATATATATATATATATATAGAAAATGTTATATATATATAAGAAAATGTAATGTTATCTAAAATTT